GGGGGTGTTCTTTATTTTTTCCCTTCCGTTTGTTTTTATTCTGAGCGGGTGCGTATGGGGGGGAGCCTATAACAATTCTGATTCTCTACATAACTGCACAGAGCCAACCGGGGCGAGAGAGAGAGAGAGAGAGAGAGAGAGAGAGGGCGGGCGGGAGAGAGGGAGAGCAAGAAAGCAGCGCCAGGAGCGGCAGCGGCAGCAGGGCCGGTCACCCTCGCCCCCTCCCTGCTCCCGTGCACGCCAGTGCAAGCCATGTCCTATCCTCAGGGTTACCTCTACCAGCCCCCTGGCTCGCTGGCTCTGTACTCCTGCCCGGCATACGGGGCGTCGGCTCTGGCTGCCCCCAGGAGCGAGGAGCTGGCCAGGTCTTCGTCGGGATCGGCGTTCAGCCCTTACCCGGGATCGGCAGCTTTCACCGCCCAGGCGGCGGCTACAGGCTTCACCAGCCCGCTCCAGTACTCCACAGACCCCGCCACGGGATTCCCCTCCTACATGGTAACTACCTAAGAGCAATCCTCTCCTTCTTCATTAGCATCCGCATTCTCATCCTCATCATCTTCAGCTTGTCTCCTCACACACTCGCCATCCGCCCCCGACCCCGCGCCGCGCCGGCGGGTGCCCCGCGCCGCCTCCGCCGGCCCCCGCGCTGCTGCCCCGCAGCCCGGCCGCGGCCGGCGGAGCCTGTGCGGAGCGCAGCGGAGCCGGAGCCGGTGCAGGGGCTGGGGTCGGCGCTGGGGTCGGGGCCCCTCCTCGCTCTGTGCCGATGGGCCTGCAACCCAGGCTCGCCCTGCGGACCGCGGAGCGGTGCCGCAGTCCCCGTTACAGAAATATGGATAGTCTCAGGCAATTGCGCTGGAGACTTTCATCCCCCCCACCCCTTCCTTTTTCTCTTTTCGCTGCGGTACGATAAGGGAGGGTTTCTTTTTTTCTCTTTCTCTTTTTTTTTCCTCCTCTCTCTCTCTTTTCTTTTTCTTTTTTTTTTCTTTTTTTTTTTTTTTTCGGTGTTTAGAGGCGCTGCAGGCTTTATCCCCGTGTGGGTTTATTTACTTTCAGTGTGTTTTGTGCTAATGGTTTAACTGGATTTTAGGCATGAAAAGGAGCATCTGTTAGCGATCTGTGAGCTTCGCTTAAGCCCAAGATGGTTGTGGTGGCCGCAGTTTCGGATTTCACTTTCTTCTTATTAGTTAAAAGGAGCATTTGCAATTGCATGTGTGTGTATTATATGCATAAAGTTTTTTTAAATAAAACCATAAATTATATAAATAAACTGCACGTCTAGATGGCTATATAGTTTTATACACATACACAGTCAGACACGTATCTAGTCCCATACACACAAAGACCTGTACCCGGAATTTGAGATTAGAGCCGCCGTCGGTATATTAGGAAGGGACGACAGCGGGGTAGTTCTCTTTCCCTACAGAGTGACAGAGAATCTGCTTGCTTTCTGTTTGTAAAATACGGTGCATAAATTGTTGCTAAGTCTTTATTCGGAGTGGTATAAAAGATCTGAGGATCTCTTTGCTTGTCTTTCCTGTTGAGAAGAAATAGGCGAGTAGCTCGAAGTTGCAGTGAGGCTGTGAACTAACTCGAATATTAAGTGAATTTGTTCTTGTGACTCTCCAATCTGTAGGATTCTGAATCGCGCGAAAAGTTAGCGAGTTCCTTAGCAATATCGTTAACTTTTCTTGCATTATGCAGACTTAAATAAGCGCAATTTAAACGTTAAAGGGCGAATTAAAATGCTAATTACATCGCATTTGAACAATTCGAAACGGTGCATATCTTCTGATTTGCAAATTGGATTTGCAATGCATTAGTGCAGTGAATTGCTAAGTGGTGGCTTTGTTGTATTTTCTATAGAAAAAAAAAAAAAAAGGGGGAAACATCTTTTGAACCTTTGAGAGAAATGTAGATATCAAGACACTACCTGTAGGGCCTTTAAAATGTCTGTGTGGTTCAAAAATGGTATTGGGAAATATTCAATTACAAAGAGCTGAAATCAGTCAGAAAGATTAAAACATCGACGACTGTAAGAGTGTGTGTGTGTATCTTGGGCGGAGGAAGGGAGGGGGGGAATCATAACTTAATGGCCTTTGGGTGCTATTCCTCCCCACCGCGCCCCCCCCCCCCCAATAGAATATGGATACAGGACACCATCCCGGGGAAATACAAATATAACCAGCGATCTCGCCTTGACATCTTACTAATGGCTATCAGCAATAACAAATTGCCAACCCCGCCGTTTTGTTCTGTCCAGGGCTCCCCTTACGACGCTCACACGACGGGAATGACCGGAGCCATCAGCTACCATCCGTACGGCAGCCCTGCCTACCCCTACCAGCTCAACGACCCCGCGTACAGGAAAAACGCTACCCGCGACGCCACGGCCACGCTCAAGGCCTGGCTCCAGGAGCACCGCAAGAACCCCTACCCCACCAAGGGCGAGAAGATCATGCTGGCCATCATCACCAAGATGACCCTCACCCAGGTGTCCACCTGGTTCGCCAACGCCCGCCGGCGCCTCAAGAAGGAGAACAAGATGACCTGGGCCCCGCGGAACAAGAGCGAGGATGAGGACGACGACGAAGGAGATGGGGCGAGGAGTAAAGAAGAAAGCTCGGGCAAGATGCCCGAGAGCAACGAAACCTCCGCCGAGGACGAAGGTGGGCTCGGGGTGCAGGGTCGCCCCATGCTGTCGCATCGCGCTCTTGCACCCACCCCCCTCACTCCCCCCGGGTGCTGCCCACGGGCCACGGCTGAGAGGGGGGTGAGGGAGGAAGGGTGAAAGGAGGGGAGGCGAAGGTTGCCTAGTAGAAGCGGCCCCGAAGGCGCGGGGCTGGGGGGAAGTGCCCTGTCCCGCTCCGCAGCGGCCCCGCGGCCGGCGGGACCCGGGGCCGGCCGGGCTCCGCGCGGTTCCGCTGGGCAGAGGCTCCCGCTGAGCGGCGCGGGGTGCAGCCGCGGAGCCAGCCCGTGGGCACGTTCCTAGAAATGTAATTACACATCAGCGGCCGCGATCGCGAGCAGCCGCGGCTGCGCGCTCTTGTCAGTGCCCCTGACTGTGCCTTTCCGCGCCCGCGCCCGCCTTGCAGGGATCAGCCTGCAAGTGGACTCGCTCACGGACCACTCGTGCTCCGCGGAGTCGGACAGCGAGAAGCTGCCCTGCAACGCGGGCGACCCCCTCTGCGAGTCGGGCTCGGAGTGCAAGGACAAGTACGAGGACGTCGAGGAGGAGGAAGAGGAAGAGGAGGAAGACGAGGACATCGAGGAGGACGACGGCGGCGGCGGCGGGGAGCGCGGCCCGCCGGCCAAGACGGCCACCTCGTCGCCGCTGGCGGCCGTGGAGGCGCCGCTCCTGGGCCACCCTCACGCCGACGCGGCGCGCAGCGGCAGCAAGGCCTCGCCCGGGCCCCCGACTCCCGCCACCAAGCCCAAGCTCTGGTCGCTGGCCGAAATCGCCACCTCGGACCTTAAAAACCAGCATCTGGGTCCCAGCTGCCAGCCACCGGCTCTGTCCTCGGCCACCCCCGCCTCCACCCCGCACAGCGCTGCCTACTCGCCCTCCTCCCTCCTGGGGAGGCATATATATTACACCTCACCTTTTTATAGCAATTACACAAACTATGGGAACTTTAACGCACTCCAGAGCCAGGGAATCCTGCGATACAGCTCCACAGCAGTGGCTTCAAACGAGGGACTAAGTCAGACTGTCCTAAATGCCAGCTCTGTTCACAAGCAGAGCAGTGACTCTTTGAAAACCATCACTAACCAACTAGAACAGCATTACAGGCCCTCTAGTTATGACTCTAAGAAAGGTAGGTGATTTGTTTAACTGCTGTCTTCCCCCTGCTCCCCTGCCCCCTCCACAAACAGCATAAATTCTTTATATACTTTAAATACAAAGTATATTTGTATTTAAATACAAAGGCCTTCTTTGGTCAAAACAGCGAGCATCACTACGACTGCACGCTGAAGATGGGCAATAGTAGTATCTGGGGATTAAAAATTGCATGTTACCATCATATCAATACTTGCCTCTAGAAACAAAGAAAGGAAATGTGAAAGATGTCTTTTTAAGAAGTCTCACTCACTTCAGATGCAATTAAAAATCAATTTTAAAAGGAAAATAAATGCATAGGTATTTATACATATAGACCCTATATACCTAAATACCGAAGAGTATTGAGTATTGGTATAATCTTTCTTTCTTTCTTTCTTTCTTTCTTTCTTTCTTTCTTTCTTTCTTTCTTTCTTTCTTTCTTTCTTTCTTTCTTTCTTTCTTTCTTTCTTCTAGTAATACTGCTTTTACTTCCTTTGGTTTCAGTATCTCCACTTATTTTGGAGCTTTGTGTTCAGACTATTGCTAACCTTGGAAATGAAACTATGTGCAGCATGAATTTTTTCTCTCTCTCAATCTTTAATATAATGTTTTATGTAAATGTATTTGTCACCTAAAAAATATATATTGTCGAGATAAAGTTAATTCTAAAACACTGACCAAAGTCTTTCAAACAACTTAGCTACGAATTGTGTGTGGGTGAAGTCTGGGACATACCTAAACTGTATAATCTAGTTAGCTAGCTGTGTCCTGTGACTAACTGACGGTTATATTTTGACAGATCCCACTGAAGTCTGCACAGTAGGAGTACAACCATACCTATAGAAGTGCAATCGCACAGCAATGCAAGTAAGTGGGAACATTTTCTATTACACTGATCATTTGGCATCAGTTCCATGACATACTGCACAGTTTTAAACTTGCTTAACATTCATTTCTTGCTTCATTACGTAAGAGACTGCAAAGTAAGGCACTCTTTTCTGCTGCGCCTTTTTTTNTTTTTTTTTTTTTTTTTTTTTTTTTTTTTAAGCCTCTCATTACAACTTTTCTTTCTCCAGTTAATATTCATTTTGAAGTCAGGCTAGCTATTTCCTTAACACTGCATACTCTTTGCTTATATAAGGAAAAACAAAACAAAGCAATAAATAATAATAAAACAAACCATAGAAGAACTATTTAAACACTATTGAAAGCTTTTCAAAAATATTCTCTAAGGTATTGCTGCTCAAAAATAAAGGACTTTTGCTAACATGATAATGTGAGAATTGCGCATCATAAATGAGAGGACTATATATAGTGGCTATACATTTAAAATAGAGAGGGACAATTTTAAGAAATTGACATGCATCTTAAAAGGGTATGTTTACTGTAGTTTGCCTAGCTATCAATGACAATACTAATACCTCTGGGTATTAATATTGAGGGCTAAATAAACAACATCAGAAATCGGCTTGTTAGTATTATTAACTAGTTATTTATTTAGAAGAAATTAGAAGAGTAAGAATTTTGCCTCACTTCCTTTTTGCAATTTAATGCTGTCAGCATGTAATTGAAAGACTTTTGGATGATCTGGTTTTTTCCTTGGTCCACAGGTAGGTGTCACAATTGCTTTGAAAAAAAGTCAGCAAGCCATCATCTCTCCCCGAGCTAATATATATAACAAATCTCTAAATGCGGATCACATCTTGTGCCACTGTATAAAAGAGGACCACAGAGCACTATTAAATCTTCAAACTCTAATTATTAAACCAGAATTTTGTTGGACATATGTGAGTTTGCTGGTATAGTATAGTTTCCCCAATGTATGTGTGACTTTTGAAAACAGATCTGTTTTTCTCAGGATATCTTGAATTGATCACTCCATTGCCACGATATATATTCGATAGGTGTGATAGGATTTATTGTAAAATTTATTTGTAAAAGATGTATACAGTAGAGATAATAAAGATGTGATTGGAGAACTTGAGTCCTTACAAAGTGGAAACAGATTTGATATTTATTTTTGTAATGATATAAAGCTTCTAGTAATTTATGCAAGTTGTATTGCAATGGAATATGAACTTTTTGTAAATAAATTTTGCCTGTTTTTTATTTGAAACGTTGATGGTTATACAATCTTTGGTTGTTTAATGAGAATTCTTTACTAATTTATATCTCTAATTGTAAATAAAAACAGACTAGTCTGCAACAATATGGTGTTTTCCATTCATTTCCCCCTAAATAATAATCCATTATTTAAAAAATGACAAAAGTTATGATTTCACTTAGTGCAGCCTAGACCATAAAATGAGTAAGCAATTTTAATATGCAGAAAAGATATAGTTTGCATAAATTAATTCCTTCTGGGTTGTTCCGTTATACTGGAATTGTAAATATATACATGTGTGTGGAAACGTATTTGTATATATGCATGCATAAGCATAGAGAGAGAGATGAATACATGCATGTTTCTTATAACCTTATAAAGTATTTATATTGGGTGTGAAGTAGTTTTTTATTGGAATTAAATTCTCTAAATTCATCATTTTTCTAGGGGGAAAATGAAATCTACAATGGCTTATTTTTAACTTCTCTGTTTCTTCTGCTAGCTAAATAATGCAAATGTAAAAAATGAGCTAAAAATTCCCCCCCGCCTTTTTTTGTCTTATTTTATATCAGTGAACCACATCTTTAATTTGATAGGCACATTAGAAAACCACTTTGATAGGGTTCATAAAAACAGCTAACCAATCATTTACTTTTCAGGAAAATAATGGAAATCCTCATATAATATAATTTCAGAAAAAAAAATCATTTATTTTCCCCAAAAGATAAATTGAGTGAATATAACTTACGGTTATAAAACAAGAATAATAGCTTCTTAGATTGCCCTTTAATCAATCATACACTTATTTTTCAAGAGGCTCATCTATTTTATTCCATGATTAATAATGTTCCAGCGTGAGAGCATTATTAGATCCCAGCAGGGGAGATCCTGAATGCTTTTAGCTGCTTTGGAATGGTCAGTTGGGGTTCATTATGGTCTGATATTGAACAATTTATAAAATCTTGTCTAAACATCTGCCAACTCAGATAGGCTGATGTGTCTGAAGATGGGAAATTGCTGGACCAGTTGATATTGACAAACGGATCTCTCTCCAGTGGCTTTTTGTTCAGTGAAAATTAGTGGCCTCTTGCTCAGGTCTTGTTAGAAAGGGCATTTGAAAGTGATCTTAGATACTTAAGGCATCAGCCTTGGGAATGTTAGCTGGATAAAGAGCCATTCTAGGCTAGAGCCAGGAAAAAAAATCGTAATTATATTAAATGGAGAGAAAGGAAGCTGCGTTTTTGAAATGTGAATATTCAACTTTACCCATTCTTCCTCTTCCCCTCCCCCACCCATATTTTACTGATATAAAGCTGTCTAACTGATTGAGAAAATGTACGTGTTTTTCATCTATTAGGGTAGAAATTAGCACTGTAATTCTGGAAAACTCTGGGATTCATCTAGCTAAATATAAATCATTGAAGATCTTTACAGTTGGAGGCCTACTCATCTGCTTCATGTTCTGTAGAATGATGCTTCTCTGCTCCTACAGCATTTTTTTTTAATGAGGTAAAATGTAGTTTTAGCTGTATGCTGTATATGATGCAATTAGACAAGAATTAATAATACTTTAGAACAGGTATACTTCAGATTTTATTCCTTAATCTTAAGAATAATTCAGATTCTATTCCTCCCCCTGATTTAACCATGAGGTAGATGCAAATATTTACTGCAACCACCCTTACACCATCTTTACGGTGCACTTTAGGAACATTTTACGTGGAAAGTTTTTACGCTATAGGAGACCTCAGAATTTTCCCCAGCTCTTCCTCCTGCTCCATCCACCCCCATCACCTGCTTTTTCTGCTCCAGGTCTCTGTTGGACAAAACGTGTACATTTCAATTGGTAAAAACCAAAAGCTGTGGCAGAGATTAAGAAAGGCTAACGACATTCCTTTGACATTCCTTTGATGTTTATACGCCCAAAGAATTATAAAAGATTTCCATAATTTACCCACCCTTGCTAGTATTTAGACCTGGATTTCTTTCTGGAAAGAAAAGTAGAAAGACTTGGGAAACTCGCTTTTAAGTATTCACTATGTATGTAAAACCCGGTGGACTTCTCTCATCCTCTGAGAAATTCACGAGTGGTTCACAGATTCATATGGGCGACACCCAAACGATATATATATATATACATATATAATGTATATATTTAAACAAGCAATTTAATGGGCAAGAACTGCATATTCGACACCACTCGAGATTTAAAAATCAAAATTAAAAGCAGGAGGAAAACGTAGCTTGTTGGCACAGACAATGCGATTATTTGAGAAAGAATCACGCACGATAAAATCCAGCACTTTGTGTACAGTTTATTTCGCAATGATGCTAATCATCCCGCTGGGATTAAAATCTCACACCACTTTCTATATTTACCTCCCCCTCTCCATTCTCTCCCCCCGCCTCCCCTTCTGTGCCTGCTTCGGAGAAGACAAACCCTCCCCTCTTCAGGGCCAGAGGTTTCATTAGAGCTGATTTATTGAAATTCAAGCTTTGATCTCAGGTGGGATCCCCGAGGAATTAGCGCTGTCGTCAAGTAGGAAGGAAGAGGGTCGCTTGCCACTTTGCACTGCCTACGCTGCGCTGTGCTCGCTGCAAATGTCAACATTCATTCTCCATGAGAGAGTTATTGTTTCGGGAAAGCTGCTCACCAACCGCCTTGGAGAGCAGGAGAAAAAGCATCACCTTTCTCTGAGCGGAGGGATGGGAATGCAGGTTCAACCTAGTGCAGGCCGGCAGCAGACAGACCTGCAGACAGACATGGGAACCGCTCCTGGACACACAAGGTCGCGGCTTGAGAGGAGAGACGAAACCGGGGGAAAGTTAACAAAAATCTCAATAGGCGCCCGCGTTTCTGTTTCCACTACATTTGCATGTTAGCCGCGGGTATGCTTACCCTTAATAAAGAGAGCTACTGCAGAAGTAATAACACTAACAATAATAATAATAGTAATAATAATAATAATAAAGAGGTCAGGTTTTCCAAATGCTCACGCTTGGAGGAGGTCTTGAGGCTTTTGGGGGTGGGATAATTGTTAGGTGAGGAAACAAATTGCAAGATGCACCATCTAATTTCTCATTCCGCCCTACCTGGCGGATCTACCTGGCTCAGGTGCGGTCAGTGCTGAGGGAGGCGGCGGCGGCGCCGGCCCCACAGGCACCGCTCCGTGGCGGCCCCTCTGGGCCGGGAAAACAAAACCCACCGCCTCTGGAAGTTTCTGAGGCGGTCGCATGTTACGTCTCACTTAAGCGGAGTTAAGGCTCAACGCACCGTTGAGAAACCGTAGCAGGAGCGCAGTCAGTACCGGAAGGATTTTATTACTTATTAACTTTGGGGAAAAAAAAAAAAAAAAAAAAGAGAGAGAGAGAGAGAGAGAGAGAGAGAGAGAGAGAGAGACTAGATTTACGTTTAGGTTCTTTGGTCGCGCTCTGCATTCAGACACTTTCCTAGTGCTTGGGTAAGCTTCTCACGATCGACTTGATCGAACTACAGAAAGAGAATAGCGGTAAAGTTAACGGTGATAGCCCAAGTAGTAATGCTGTGCGTGAGATTCACCTCTTCGTTTTCAGTCCAGTAAGTAATAACTCAGATATGCTCCTGGCTTCTGGGAAAAAATATATATAAAATAAAACAGAAAAGTTAAGAAACAAAGGATTCCTTGCTGAATACCCAAATGCACCCATGCATCTAATCCGTGATTACTGACTTTGAAGCAGAGCTTTTATTAAAATTTCAGAAGGAAAGTGCGCTTGGGAGGGCATATGTACCTAAGTAGGTAAAAAAAAAAAAAAAAAAAAAAAAAAAAAAAAAAAAAAAAAAAAAAAAAAAAAAAAAAAAAAAAAAAAAAAAAAAAAAAAGCCTGCAGGGAGCGGTGTGGAGGTAGGCTGTGTATTCTGGAGGAGTGTTTTACCTATAAGCACCCTGGCCGAGGTGGCAGCGGAGCTCCTGCGATCTGGCCCCGTGTCTCCCCCTCTCCCTCTCTCCCAGCCGTGAGTCACAGGAGCCTGTCACTATTTTGCATCCAATCCGATGGAGCCAGCTGCGTGTTTCCTTAGCAAAAGTAAGGGACAGAGGGACCTGACTGCCCTGCTTCTAAGGGAGGCACCGCGCTGCTTCTGAAACATGCCCATTAACTTTGCTCCTTTCGGGATTTGGGGACACAGTGAAAGAAAAAGGGAGGCGGACATGCGGCTGTTCAGGCCAGTAGCGACAGTCACTTTTGCTCCACCCGGGCTTGTGTCATCCGTGACGACTCCGATTTCAAATTACCGAATATATGGGCAGAAAAAAAAAGTCTTCCTTGCTCTTCGTGGGGTGACAATATTGCCGTCGTTGCTCGCGCTCTTAAAAGCGCCTAGGAAAAGAAGAAAAAAACATAACTATGTGCATTTTTATAGGGAGATAAATTGACAATTTATTGTGTATAACTTCTGATCAATTATTAATCGTTAGTGTCAACAACAGGGTATAATTACCTTCAGTTATTTAAAGGAATATTTATTTTTTCTTCTCTCTGATCTGGTAATTAGTTAATACTCTGGAGTAATGATCTTAAAGCTGATTTGATAATGATCGAGACAGCTTTTTTTATTATTATTATTTTTCCACCCTCCTCTCTTTTGGCAGCTCCCCTGGCGAGGAGGGGAAGTCAGGGGGAAGAATGGAGGTGTCGCTCACCCTTGTTTGCAGAAGAGTCCATGTAAAGGCAAATAGTGGCGCGTTTCACTTTTCAGACCATAAACAACCATTCTGGAAGGAAAAAGAAAGGGAGTAGAGGAGAGGCGAAATGACAAACAAATAGAGCGCAGCTGGGATGAATAAAAACGATCAAAGTTAGCGAGTGCCGTGCTTCTTGCAGCCCCAGCAGGTCTGAGTCCCATAAAGGTGCCAGCATGTCTTACCTCTCTCCCCGAGATCAAGGGAGAGGGCGAGCAGGACGTTTTAACCCGCTGACATCTTCTCCAGAGTAGAGGAGCCGCGGGAGGAGCGGAGGGGGCGCAGGAGGGAGCTGGGCGTTTCTTGTTTAGGGGAGATTTCAGTGCCTTGAAGATCGC